AACATTTGAAGCTTCATTGGTTCCTGTGTAGTCCTAAGGAAACACACAGAAACCTCCCTGCATCTTTTCCCAAGTCCATAATTTTATATCAACTATTGCTTAAATCAGCAAGATTTGACTTCTGTTGTTGAAACCTGAAAAGTCAAATCTGAACATCCCTTTTAGGGTATTTTTCTCTTCATAAACAAAAAGTCTCTAGCACAAGGCTCTCTCAATCTTGACATAAAAACAAAGAAATAAAGATAACAAAATAAACAGAAATATTTTCTTTAATAAGGATTCATATTTTCCTACATAGGATTTATAGAGTAGCTGACAAAATTTGAATTACATTCACTAGTTATTTTCACTATTACTTTATATTTGTAGATTTACATAAAGGGTAAGAATTATTAGTTTATAAATTATGTTGTCAATATTATAAGCCTGTTTTTCTATATCATAAATAATGATCATATATTCACTTTATGTAGCATGAAATAAAAACTCATAATTAAATGGGCAAAGAATGTTTGTTAGAAAAACAGCTATTTTAACTGGAAAAACTGTGTCTTTTAAATACAGGACTGAGAACATTTATTGAGACTTTTTTCAGTTATATGAGTTTACACAAAAGACACAAGTAATAAGTCTTTTAAAATGAATGCAGTCTAGACTAAACTCTGAAGGCATACCCATCACTGTCAATGTTCCCTCCATCTCCTGCCCCCAAAGAGCTAATGTAGATTTGCCCTTTATGAGAAATATAAACACCGTTGACTACTTTACGTGGTGAAATGGCCTTTTGAAGTCTTACAAATATGTCAGTATTGCTCATTTTGCCGAGCTTTATCCTATCATCCATAAAGTACAGGGTAAATGCAATCTTTTATCTACTTTCTCTGTAAAGAAACTTTTCCTTGAATTTCATTAACCTTTTGGAAGTTCGTTGTCTACTTATTACCTTTCTCAGAATCTCCTAGCCTTTTTAGTTACTTATATCTGGTATTCTTGCATGAAATGATGCCATAAAATATGCATCAAAGGAATTATGTTTTCTCCCATTATGAAAGATATGTTTAGAATTTAAAGATAAATCTGAAAAGCATATTCCTACAATGTTATGAATAAATGCAAGTCATTAGCAGGCACAAAATGACATCTAAAAAATCATAAAGAATAAAAGTAAGTATAAACATGTCTGATTTTATTTACCAAGTACAATAAGGAACCCAGCTGTCAATACCAGGACTTGGATTACATAGGAGGTTACCTGTGCTAAGAGGCAATAAATCTTTAACCTCTTGGTAGCTTTCTGTTTCTGCTGATTGCAGGGATTGTCTTAAACAGTCACAGAAGGCAAGACATCTCTGTGGAAGCTTGTTGTAGCTTCTCCACACACTGGCAAATAAGGTATTCTCAACTTCTCCTTCAGAGTTGCTTTAAACAACTAGAGATTAGGGTATCCTTAAACCAATTACAGTCCACAGAGAATATATCCAATACTGAGAGATGAGAGTGTGTGGACTCTAAGCCTTCCTGAGCCTGAAAGCCAAATCTTAGTGACATTTTACGTCCCTATGTTCTTATGGCCACGTCTAAATTGTAACTGATTTACAGTAAATCCCTTTTCTAATAGGTCTCTGCTTCTCCAGCCTCTTATATTCATTTCTTGGAAAATTCCAGTGCTTTTAATTCACTTTTAAGGTTTTTGTTTTGTTTTTTAATCTCCTTTAGAACTCAGCTTAATTCAGTAATGCTGGATGTAACCTGTAGGATATTATTCCAGAATGATTACTCATTTGTATGCCCAAGGGTAAGCAAGACTCCATTTTTGGTACGGCTCCTTAATGATAATGTCCAGCAGAACTTTATATCACATTGATTACAACAATCATACAACATGCTTTAATGAGAAACACAACTGAAAACAAAATATTATCTTTCTCTGTACCAGATTCATTCTTCTCTCATTAAAGTAGACTTCAGCAAGTTATGGCTGGGGTTAAATGGGGGTAAAAGCCTGGCTTTGTATTTCTGTCCATCAAGAATGATTTTTAATTATTAAAGGATTGTAAATATTTGCAAAGAAAAATATTTGACTATAAGCCATGAAATATTTATTTTTTTATAGTAAGCTTGCTGAACTTTGCATTGATCATTAAGGATTACAGAGAATTCTGGGACAGTCGTTTTTTGTTGGCTAGGATTTCTGTTAAGAGTGGCTGCCAAGAAACTAGACTCCCTCATTTCAGTGTGGCACACAAATATCCAGAACAGCAGAGACCAAGGGGAGAGCTTTAGTTGTAAAAATACAAAATGCATGTAATTGATACACAGTGAGTACAGTAATATCAAGAAACAAGGTAGGGAATTTTGACCCAGAGAGACCAGCTGAGATTCTGATGCTACTCCAGTAAATATAGACAGAGAAAGCATTAGGCTCTTAATTGGTGTATAGCCAGAAAATACCAACAGCTTGTTAACAAAAAGTTGATAGTACTAGAGAGGAAAATTACAAACTTTCATGTAGTTTATGAAAAGGAGTCAGTTTTCAAATGAACAAGGCACAGTTCGTAGCTAGAGTTTTCTTGCAAGTCCACAGTCAGGACAAATCTCTGTCACCCACCAGTCCCACAGCCGCTCAGACCCAACCAAGTAAACACAGAGACTTATATTGCTTAAAAACTGTATGGCCGTGGCAGGCTTCTTGTTAACTGTTCTTATAGCTTAAATTAATCCATTTCCATAAATCTATACCTTGCCACGTGGCTCGTGGCTTACCGGCATCTTCACATGCTGCTTGTCATGGCAGCGGCTGGCAGTGTCTCCTCCCACCTTTTTGTTCTCTCAATTCTCCTCTCTGTTAGTCCCACCTATACTTCCCGCCTGGCCACTGGCCAATCAGTGTTTTATTTATTGACCAATCAGAGCATTTGACATACAGACCATCCCACAGCAACAGTTTGAATGGAAGAAAATTCTCTTGAAGAAGTCTCCTACAATCCCAAACAAATCTTTTCATTTATTTTCATCTTTTATAACTTTTAAACAATAATTTATAGTTTTCAGTATGAAGTATAATGGTTTTTATTATATATATATATATATATATTTAAGTATCTTATATATTTAATGAAATTATAATTGTCTTCCTAGTCTTCATTATATAGATCTTACACACTAGTACTTATTTAACTCATGGTTTGGGGTTTGTATTTCCTTTTTAAACACACTTTCACCATGGCCCAAGCTGGCCTTGAACTCAGGATCCTCCTACTTCTGCCTTCTGAGTTCTGGGATTATAAGCGTGTGTTGCCATACCTTATTCATCTATGAATTATATTGTCTCATTTCATAGATTACTAAAGATTTCTATATAATATCTGTATTAAATTATTTTTCAAGATGATAATTTTTCTAACCTAATATAGTAGAAAATCAACTAAGTTATTAAACAGAAGTAGCAAGAAATTAGCATTCTTTCACTGTTCCTGAATTTAAGCATTACTCTGTGTGTGTGTGTGTGTGTGTGTGTGTGTGTGTGTGTGTGTGTGTAGTTGGAGAGGTGGTACCACTCAGGTGGTAAGTGCACTTGTGCAAAGCGCCTGGGTTTGATTCCCAGCGCATGGAGGGAGGCTCACAACTGTCTGCAATACCAATTCTCAGGATCTATCACCCTTTCTGACCTCTGTGGAAACTGCACACTCATATGGCAGAGACATTACATGCAGGTGAAATATCCATACACATAAAAACAAAATAAGAGTCTTTTAATAAATCCTGTGTAAAAAATTCTGCTAATTCTATATGGATATTTGCTAGAATTTTTCAGCAAAGATTTCTTAGAGTAGAGATTTTTATTAGGAGCTTCTTTCAATAGGGTCTCATATTTTGGTCAGGCAGTTCTCAGGCACATTAGCTTGGGTGACCCTCTTGCATCAACCTTGTAAGTAGTTAGGGCTCCAGCTGAGCAAAGTTACACCTTGGTCAATGCATTTTCTACTTTAGTTTCTGCAGTTTTTCAGGTTCAATGTTTAATTTATGAATTATTTACTACCATGATTTATTTAGAAATATGTTGTTGAACTTCCAAATGAGAAATGACTGTTGTTACTCTGGTATAGAATGGATTCACTATAGTGAGAGTTCATATGTTGCATCATTTCAACTACTTCGGATTTGTTGAGATAAAAAGCACAGGGGATTTTCTCTTGGTAAATATTCCATTTGCACACATAAAACTGTATTCTATTTTTCTCAGTGAAGTAGTCTATATTATAAAGGAATCTGCCCTTATCTCTGGGAAATGAATTGGAAAGGCTCTCAATAGATGCCTGAAACTGTGGTTAGTGTCAAACCTTACAATGTAAATACTATATTTTTCTCCATAAATAATCTATCAATGATAAAGTTTTAATTTATATAGGACACAAATAAAATAATAAAAATGATAATAAAATAGTATAATGACTTATTAAAGTGAAATAAAAATTACCTGAACATGAGGATTATGATATCTCAAGAGCTTATCTGATATACAATACCTACATTAACTGACCAATAACATGTAGTATATCCAGTGTGGATATGCTTGACAAAACTACTTCATACTACAGGTGAGATGGAGAAGGTAAATTAAATGTTCATCACTCTATTAAGATGCATGCAATTATAACCTTATTAATTATTCAGTCTGGTTATTTTGCACTTAATATTTTTGCAGCGTGGATGACAGTATAACTATAGACAATGAATATATAAATAAGCAAGACCCTTTGTACCATTCATGGGTATTGTTCATTTTCTATAAAGCAGTTCTATAAATCACCAAAGAGAGGGTGAATGAGAAAGGCCTCCCTAAAGCTGCTATGTTTGAATGCTTGATCCCCAGATGGTAAAACTGTTTGGGGAAGGATTAAGAGCTGTGGCCTTACTGGAGGAGGTGTGTCACTAGGTGAGTGCCTGGAGATTTCAGAAGACTCGCCAATCCCAGACTTTTTCTCTTTGCCTCCTCTTAGTGTTTCAAGATGTGAGCTCTCGGGCACTGTGTCTGCTCCATGCCTGCCTGCCTGTCTACCTGCCTGCCTGTCTACCTGCCCGCCTGTCTACCTGCCTGCCTGTCTGCCTGCCACCAAAGTCCCTGCCGTGATCTTCATGGACTCTAAGCTGGGACCATAAGACCCAACTTCAGTACTTTCTTTTATGTGTTGTCTTGGTCATGGTGTTTTATCTCATCAATAAAAAAGTTACTAAGACTGATGGCGTTAAGGTTCCTGATCAGAACTGAAAATGCATCAGTATTTTCTTCCAGTCAAATGAGCTTGGGTTGTATAGACATCTTTGGTAAAATGTAAACATGAGACAGTTGGATATGCATCTTTGGTAAAGTGTAAACATGGGATTATGATATGTTATGCATGAATTGTTCTATCTTATTTGAAGTAATTGAACTATTTTATTTTAATTTATATTAATAAACAGTTGTATGATATATTTTTATTTACTTACCTTTTATCTCTCTTTCAGGGCATATCTTCAAAAAAACATAAAGTTGAGGCCTGCATTTTCATCATACTCAAAATAACTTATTTTATTCTGTATATTCAGAATTCTGGATATTGGTAAATGCTTGATATGCTCGTAGCTTCGTTGTTTTCTATGGTTTCATCTGTTTGTTTTCCCAATTTCAGTTCATTTTTTAATTTTCCTGGAGACAATGTCTCAAAAACATCAGGGCATTCTTGAGGTTAGGCAATCCTCCTGTCTCTGTCTCCTAAGTACTGGGTCATAGGTGTGAGCCACTTCACCTAGTCAACTTTACATCTTTATTGGGAAATTTTCACAAGATCTCATCGTGACTATTTATAGACTTTCAGAATGTGGTTCTTGGTATATTGAGTAAATTATGTATATCTATATATTTAGAGTTCTTGCTCTGGGTGCCACAATTCATAAATGTCACAATACAATGGTAATGACATTTTCCTACTTCAGTAGACTTATGAAAACCTAACTTTCAATGTGCCCCCATGCCTTCTCTACTTCAATATTATCATTTTCAGTACCTGGTAATATTAGCATTTTTGTTCCATTATCAGATACATTGCATATAAATCATTTAAACATATTTCTCTTTTGTTCTTTCTTTTCCAGTGAGATCATCCACAGTTTTCTTATTCGACAATCTCTTTTCTTTCTGAAGAACTTATTTTAGTCATCCTTTAAGGAAAAGTATAATGTGCCGGGCGGTGGTGGCGCACGCCTTTAATCCCAGCACTCGGGAGGCAGAGCCAGGCGGATCTCTGTGAGTTCGAGGCCAGCCTGGGCTACCAAGTGAGTTCCAGGAAAAGGCACAAAGCTACACAGAGAAACCCTGTCTCGAAAAAAAAAAAAAACCAAAAAAGAAAAAAAAAAAGTATAATGTAACAAAATGCTTTCATAATTTATTTGTTTTGTTTTAATTTGAGAATGATTTATTTCCCCTTAATTCCTTAAGGAGATGAAATCCACCTCTGACAGTTCTTTACTTCTACCAATTGAAAAATGTGTAGCTGCCTTGCAGCCCCTCCATGGTCTGTTGAAAAATCCAGAGTCATTCAAAGTAGTGCTCCAAAAGGTACACAAGGACATTACCCTCTGGCTGTTTTTGAGAACTGGCTCCAGTTTTCATTTTAACACTGATGTGTATTTACATGAGTTTCATTGGTTTTATATAGAGTTTCATTAATTTATTGATTTCACAGTTTTATCATAGTCAGAATTTTCTCTGGTCCCACCCAGCCCCGTGGTCCCCAAGAATCTCTCCTACCCATGGTCTCTCAGCCATTTATAAAATAATTACTCTGAGGCTTAATATTAATTATAAACTGTTTGGCCTCTATATCAGGTTTCTTGCTAGCTAGCTTTTTCATCTTAAATTAACCCATTTCCTTTAATCTATGTTTTGTCACATGGCCGTGGCATTACTGGTCTGCTGACATGTTGCTCCTTGGGTGTCTGGATGGCATCTCCAACTCCACGCTTCTTGGTCACCCTCTGCAGTTTGAATGTACTGTATAACCTTATTCTGCCTCACCATTGGTCAAACAGCTTTATTTATCAGCCAATGATAGCAACACATATTCACAGCATACAGAAAGACATCCTACAGCATTTTATCATCATTCACTAAAACAAAGAAGGTTTTGAAAAATACCTTTTTGGCTTTACAGTACTTCTCTTCTGTAATCAATAATGTGATAAATGCTTTATCATCTTTGTTTCTTTTGTTTCTCTTTTTTAGTTTTAAGATGGATGTTCACGGAAGAACAAATTGAGAATAAATAAATCTATTTAACATCTTGAAGAAAGATTATTTCTTTTTGGATTTAAAATACCTTTGTTAAATATATCCCATCTTTGGAGAGTTAAATGATATATTTTTAATGTAATCTTAAAATAAGGGAATTAAATATAATGCAACTGACCTGAAAATGTGTACTGATTTAGCTTGTTATCAAAAGGAATTTGAGCATCCTTCATTTTATTGTTTTATCTCTAAAGCAATCATGCATGACAAGAGAATAACAAATATAGAGAATCACTCAAAAATATGTTTATAGAATTCCTAGTCTGTTATGATTTTCTGTTTGATTAACTGAAGAGACTAGTACTGTTTGTGGCTTTAACAAATCTACTCCATGATATGTATTAAGACTGCATATCCATCACTACCTTATGTTCTATTTGATTTGGCTTTTTATTGTTGTTTGTTATTGTCTAAGTACAGATAAACTCACACCATGTTAAAAAATTCTGTATGAAGGGCCAAAAAATAATTCACCAGCTGATATATTGATAATACTATATGTTTTCCTTCCAAATGCAGCACTAAAGGCACTAAATACACATACATAAGCATGCATGCATGCATACATACATACTCTGAGTGTAGTGGCTCATGTATTTGTGTGGTTTTTTTTTTTTTTTTTTTTTTTTTTTTTGGTTTTTCAAGACATGGTTTCTCTGTGTAATAGTCCTGACTATCCTGGAACTCACCTTGTAGATGAGGATGACCTCAAACTCACCAAGATCCACCTGCCTCTGCCTCCCAAGTGCTGGGATTAAAGACATGAGCCACCACCACCCAGCTGTGGCTCATGACTTTAATCCCAGAATTTGGAAGGCAAAAGCAGGTAGATCTCTGTGAGTTGGAGTAGATCAATTTGGTCTACATAGAGAGTTCCAGGACAGCTAGGCTTTCATAGATCCTGTCTTAAAATGTATGTGAGTATGTATGTGGATGGTGTGTGTGTGTGTGTGTGTGTGTGTGTGTGTGTGTGTGTGTGTGTACACAAAAGACACAAAAATAGATATACACATAGATTATATTTTGTATTACCTTTTGTATGTATTCTTAACACACACACACACATATAGAAGTACACATAGGCTTATACAAACACAGAGCACACATATGAAAGGTAACTCAAAATACATTTTAATCTCAAAATAAAAGTGTATGTAATCTCTAATCTCCCAGGATGAAAATAAATTATAGGCAGGGCTATTTGAAGATTATAAAGATATATTTTCTCCTTTAAGAGTCATGTCTTACATAATGATATCTCTTTTAAAGTCTCACAATGGCAACTTCACACAAATATTTCCAAAAGTCAAGAAGCCTTTTAAGTAAATGAATAAAATTCAGGTGTAGAATATGCTGGTGGTAATTATTGAGGTGGTAATTATAATGTGTTCATTATAACTGGACTTAACCTCAAATAAGATGAAATTTATACACTCTTGTAACTTGTAACCATTTATGACATATATATTTTGATTTAGCAGAAATGACATTTTAGAGAAAAACAATTCTGCTTTCCTTTTAAACTGATCGATTGATGAACAGGATAGAAGTTAACTGGTTATAGATGACAAGATTTACTGTTTCAAAACTATAAATCTTAACACTTGTTGTAAAAAGGAATTTAGTTTTATGTTTGCATGATGCATTTCTATGGACCTGCTTTAAAAAATAAGTTCTGTCTTCTACATTGCAACTCCAAATTATTCTGAAACTACTTCATTTTGTTCATTAAACTTTAGTACTCCTATGGATTATTGGTTTTGAAGACATATGTAGCTTGGATTTACTTAAAATGTCATCTACGTTAAGTCTGTAATTTAATTATTTTTTTTAGTGCTCTCATGTTTATGCAATCATCATTGCAATCCCATTTTGAATACTAGCCCCATATTAAAAGTTCTCTTTCATACTTTTGCATCTTTAGTAATAAGGAACCATTATTCTGATTTCTGAATAGATAACCTTGAATTTTCTACTTATATACTTAGAATAAAATGTACATTTGTGATTATAATTGAAGTTCATCATGTGATAGTATACATTAGTAATTTCTTTATATTGCTTTATAGCTCTGTTATATTGTTATATATTCCACTTAGTAATTCATAAACTGATCAGAATTTTGAATGGCAGTTCATGATTTTTATGCTTAACTTACTAAGAAATTAACAATTTATTTGCAGGGTGGTTATACCATAATATGTTTCCAGCAGCATATTTGAGCGTTCAGGTTCTCTATCTCCTTGCCAGCTCATGACAATTAATTTCTTTCATTGATGATGATCATAGCCATGAAAATGGATGGTAGGTACAGTGGTATCTTGTGATTTTAATTTCTATTTTCATACTTACCCATTCATGTATTAGTAAACCGTCTGTTTTAATATTATACCCATTTTCTAAAGATGTATTATTTTATTGATTTACTGGAATTCTTTTTGTGTTTAAAACGAAAGCTTCACATTAACCTTTAAAAACATTTTACCCATAGGAAAATAATTTACATCAAAGTCACATGAATTAAGTAACTCCTGTCAAAGCTATTGTTTATCAATAAGCTTTGAAGACTAAGCAATCAAACAAATTATGGAAATGTTATTTACTCCTTTAGAGGTTCTGTCAATCACAGTTTAATATGTCATAAGGTATAACTAACATTCAACCATAATTTAAGTTATGATTTATACTCAGTCTTGGAAAGAACAACTTTACTTCTATGTCCTGAAGACTTTATAAAGGTCAGTGTGTGTCTCTGTAATTCTGTGTTTTTCTAGTTCAAGAAAGTAAGTTCTTACTGGACATTTCCAACCTTCCTCTTTCCTGGGCTTAAAATTTCACAACCATGCTCACAGTAGCTCCTCTGGAGCACTAAGAGAGAGAGTGATGGATGGCTGGAAGATAGATTGAACTCTGCCCTGAATTATTCACTCCCAGCACTTTCAAAGAGACACATATAAGCAAGATTTTATTTCCTTCAAAAAATTCTGCTTTCTCTGTTTTTTCCTTCCTCCCTTTAGTTCATGCGTCTTTCTGGCTCATTTCTTACCACAAGAAGTTGAAGTGCAGCTAATGCTAATTATACTTCAAAATACAAAAAGCACCTGCATGATACAATCAAATATAATCCATTAGATTGGAAAATAACTCAATTATCTCTTTTTATTATATTGTATATATACAGTAAAAAAAAAAAAAAAAAAAAGGCTCTGCCTAAATTGTGGGTTGGCACCTTGATTTCTTGCTGGTCTTCAGTTTTCCCTCTCAAATATTCTATGCTTGTATCTCAAAAACCTCTTGCCTGTTATCAGGGACTTAGTCCTACAATTACAGCCTTCCTTTCCTATATTGTTAATTTTTCATCTCTCAGATTGATTTCATCGTTATCTATTGATATGCTAATATGATTCATCTCAAATGTGTTTTGAAGTATATGTGCTTTTCCTAATTCAACATCATTCTCCTAATCCAATACTCACTTAATATAAGAAACAGAGATAGCATATATATATATATATATATATATATATATATATATATATATATATATATATATATATTCTCCTTCAGTGTGATATGATCCTTTTGTTCATCTCAATCATTACAATTAATTATTGATAACATTGTGCAAGCCATATGAAACTCAAGTTAGCTTGTTACCTGTCTGTTAGAGCTGTGCCTTCTTTGTCATGACCCAAGACATCTGAAACTAAGACAGAATGACATTTTCTGGGCTAAACTAACTCCAAATATAAAGCATTATTAACCAGGCTATAAAATAATAGCTTCATCATTTGCAGGTTATAAAATAATAGCTTCATCATTCCCCCAAATGAAGCTAGACAGCCCATTTAAGTATCTTCTGTCACTAACCCCACCAGTCCCCAGCTAGGCTTCTTAAAAATAAAGATCATGAAGACACCCATGATTATCCTGGGTACTCA